AGATGCATTCAACGACAAATATTGTTTTTGTTTTGCTATTTTACAGATGCAAGGTGAGAAAACTCGTGCATGAGTTTTGTTCGTGGAACTTCGATAAATCTCAATACACATAGTTGAAGATAAATCTCGTAGACATTGCATTGATATTACGTGAAAAAACTAGATATTACAACTACCAAAAGTTCGACTATTTGCCCTTTTTCTCCTGTCCAGATCCACCTCACCACACATATCGATATTGTTTCCATTGATGGTCCTCAGCAAGCAACTGAAGCAATGCTGATATCCTGGCTTATTGCATGGCAGCAATATGAGAGCAATGTTGGTGCGGCCACTTAATGCAGATAGCTGCAATAGAATCGAACTTCGATCCAATGATACTGATCAAGGCCATTTTATCCACTTCTTTATGTTGCAAATTGATCGACTAATTGATATGGGACGACAATAAGAGAGGTTTCAGCTCTGCTTTTGTTTTGTTATACTTGCTGCTTAAAATGGTGACGAGAGTAGAGACCGCTTCAGCAATATGCTTCCCTTTGTTCAACATCACACAACTTATTCTGCAAAATGAGAATAATGTAAATACGATATAGATTTGCATATAAATTAGTTCTTTACTCCATTCTGTTATCAGTTTTTTGCAGTATAATTTTCCTATAATGCAGAACTGTATCATTCCCAGAGAATGAAACTTCCTATTGTCCTTGGTCATTTTTGCTTCTTGAACAGTTAAGTCATTGACAATCTGATTGCAGGCATTCACACTTATAGGTTTAACTGTAAATCCCACACGTATCTGACAAAATTTGTTCTCATCAAAACTAAAACTAGAACATGTGAGGTCCTAAACTTCTCAGTCACAAATGAATATAATTATTTTTCTTCATCATAAAATTCGTTCTTTTATTGTTTTTTCTCTTTGACTTTATTCAGCGCCAACTCAAACACAAGATCACCAGGTGTAGAGTAGAGTTTATCAGATGAAATCAAGACTTATGTTACTATTTACCTCCTTCCATTAGCTGCATCAGTAATTTCAGCTCGAGTGGGCACTCCAGACTTAATAAGTGACTCCAGAACCTGTGTTGCCCAAATGACAGGTACATGGGCAGCATTGCAGATTGAAATAATTTCTTCCTGTATATCTGCCAGCTTTTCCCAACCGCATTCCACTGCAAGATCTCCTCTAGCAATCATGACGCCCAATGGGTTTGGAGATTTCATTGCCTCCAATAGCAAGAGTGGCAAATTCTCGAATCCATCTCTTGTCTCGATCTTTAAAATAACCCCCAAATTCAAATTTTTTCTCTTTGCAAGTTCTTGGCGCAACACGACAATATCATGAATATCTCGGACAAATGAAATACCCACCATGTCAGCATTTCCAGCTACAAAGTCAAGATCCATAATATCCTTCGAAGTAAGACCTTCATATCGAATTTGACTCTCTGGGATGTTTATGGATTTTTCAGAGCCGAGCTTAGTACCTCTTGGGCCAGCATGAGTGATTGAAACAATAACTTCTGAAATGCTGATTCCCTTTATAACCCCCCATATCTTCCCATCATCAAAAGCGATAGGGTCTCCAGGTTTGACCGAATCAAATAGATAACCAGATGAGCAGGTTATCCTATGGGCATCAACTGATGAAGAAGTTGATTCATCCAGTTCATCTGAACTATCTCGAGATAGTATCAGCAAGTCACCCACTCTCAGCCTAACAAATTTCTCAGCAGGGGGAACATCTATCACAAATCCAACTGAATATTTTCTTCGCTTCTCCTTCATACGAAGTACAGTACCAGACTCAACGTACGCAGTCTTCCTACACTCGGCCAAGAATCCAACCCCAGAAAATATAGCATACTTGCTCAAAATCCTGAGTTCCCTCTGCTTTCCACGTGCGTCACAAAATCTCACTGAATCATCTACCTCTAGTTTACTTAGAAATTCTTGGTCATCCACATGTAAAATTACATCAGGAGATACATGAGGTGGTGGTGGGCCTGCTCCTTGGGGAGAAAGCCAAATTTTTGCTGGACATATCACACTTCCAACGGCATTCTTCTTGGGGGATATTTTCAATACACATGGACCCGCCTTCAGTTTGCCAGTACGAAGCTTTGGTCCGGCTAAGTCCATAAGCACCCGACATGGCTTCTCAAGAACTTGAGAACTTTTCTTCACCCTTCTTATGATCTCATTCCATATATCTGGATTACCATGTGCACAGTTGATGCGAAAAATGGTGGCCCCTGCTTCAATGAGAACAGCTACATGAGTATCATTTTCAACTACCTCTTGGCCAACTGTTACCATGATATGAGTGCCTCTTTGCCCTTGAAGTGTACCCAGTAGTAGATTCCTATTAGATGATGCCTTTTTCATCATTGCAGTAATTGCCAAGTCCCCCTTTGTTCGATTTTGCGAGCTTTTGCAAATGGGAAGCACTTCACCAGAATTTGTATAGCCATGGAGGGAATCTGATTTTGAGTTATTCAGCATTTGGATACACGCAGAAAGACTTGAAAGAACATATGGATTTATAGTCTCCAAATTCATAAGTCCTAGGGAAGAAAGCTCTTCTTTAATATGTTCTATATCTAGGCTTTTTAAAGCCAGATAGTGTATTAGGTTTGTTGCGCTCACCAAGTAATTCCTGCAAGATGAGAAACCCTTATTTATCTTTCGTACTCAAAAAGCTAGTAAGAAAGGAAGATGCCAAGAATGTTCGTTCTCAACATTCTTACTCCCAAAAAGACAGTATTTTACCAGTGACACATTTTGAGTCTTGAAGAATTCCATTGTTCCATTGCCAGAACATGTAACTGACCAGCCTTCAGCTTATCAAGGAGGCTCTCTTGGTTTCCCTGGCTCATAAATGTTTGCTGGATATCAGTGTCCGACTGCAATTGGGGGGTAAAACCTGGGACTTGAGAATTCTCATCGTCCAGAGGATGAATAACCACTGAATCATCAGCAAAATGATGTGAAACGCATCTTTCAGAATCATCTTGCTCATTTGGAACGGCACAGACAACAGTTCTCAGAGTGACATTTCCGCTTTTGCTTCCAAATAGAAATATGTGATTTCTAGAGGCTGAATTTTTAGCATTGAGTTTAGAAGGAAGATGCATAAAATTCTGATAAAATTTGGGAGATGTAAAATCAGAAGAAACAGTTGCTTGAATGCCCTTCACAACAGAAATGGTGACAGTCAAACTTCAAACAGAGGACAGGCAAAAACAGTTTGGAGTATCAGAAGGCCTATCAATGGTCAATGTCTTAAAGCAATAAATAAAGTCTTGAAAAAGTGGTTTGCTATAACATCTGAAGAGGATTATTTAAGTAAAACAAATCAAAAAGGGAAAAAAAAAAAAAAAAAAAAAAAAAAAAAAAAAAAAAAAGACAGTAAATTGAAGATAGCAAGGGGATTTTCAAGTTGAAAATTTACTATGTATTTCGATTATTGCTTAATAATTTATGTTCAGCATTCAGGTTTCAGATTGTTAGAATAGTAGTTTTATCATTTACCCCTCAAAAAGCAGATTGTTAGAATAGTAGTTTTATCATTTACCCCTCAAAATGTACCACATATAGAAAAGCACAAGTTAAACTTAGGAGTACGGAGCAGTAAATTTATACATTAGACACCGGCAAAGCACCTCCAATCTCAACATCTCATACTAGAACTTGAGTGAATAAATTATATTTTATCAAAATTAGGTAGAAAAGAATGAAAACTGTATAAAACATGTCATTAGTTTTATACACCATGACCAAAACTGTCAATGCTAAATTCACAGTTAACTATTAGTCTCTTATAAACACTTGGAAAGAGTAATGTTTTTCCCATATACTTCTATGACCTTGCTAAATGGACAAAGAGATCAAAAGAGAAAGCCTACTCACATAATTCAAAAGCATGGTCTGGTTAGTGATTGAGCAAACCGAAACAGCACTAATCATCATCTACAGTTCAATACCCAGTGGAAAAATAACCAGATGATTAAACCCAACCTGCAAAACAGCAAAAGTAATTTAACAGAACAAACAACAATATCTCCAAGTATATTAGTATCATCTTTAACTATTTTTGCGATAAGGATGAATCACAGACTTGGCTAGTCATCGATCAACACTAAAATATTCCAGTACAACATGTCAGTTCTTATACATTGATCGTGAACGAGATATTTCTGATCAAAATATAAGTAGTATGATAAGGTACTTCTCAACACAAGCAACCAATTTATATTATAACAAGCGATCATAGACACTTTAATTTGCATGTTCTATGATAAATAAATGCAATAAATATTTATTTATTATAAAAGTATTTTACCACAAAAAAATATATTATAGGGACCATCCAAAAAAAANAGACTCAGCATTTTGTAGAATATAATACATATATACAGACAAATCATATATTATATGATTTATGTCTGTATGTATGTTTATACATTAATCTGTACAATAATCGAGAAAGAGAGCTGTTGACGAGAATGGAGTGTGGAGGGCGTCTGTCCAGATTCAGTATATGAAGATGAAAATCATGAAACGGAATCTTCAATTTATGGAACCCACCAATGAGAGTTGATTATTTTTGGCGGAAGGGAAATTGACGCAAATATTCCTAAACTTTTGCCCATATTATGTTTTCATCCATGCCTTTTAAATATGGGGCAAATGGTCTCATACCTATTCATTTTTACCGCAAGTGGTCCTTTTGGACGGAAAGGACCATTACTTCTGTGCGCCCAATGCAATTGTCCTTATTTTATTTTAGGGACAATTGTAGCAGCGATCCGAAACCTTTCAATTTTTCTGTAGATTGTACTTAATTGTTTATTTTTGTTGCTACAATCTCAAAATTTTCACTTTAACGACAGTTCAGAATTCATTGGACAAATTCTATCCACTATTCTATTAGTCAACCCAAAGATAAGATGTTTGACTCAACTTCACAAATTAAATGAGGGATAAATAGTATATTTACAATTTCTATACTAAAAAAAAAAAAAAAAAAAAACTGCTCACTTTCCCCAAATCTTTCCATCCCTATCCCCTCCTAAAACCAAAATTCACAAAACCCAATCACCGCTGCTAATTTCAGTGTCTGTCTGTTTTTGCTTCTTCAGTGGATTTTAAGTTAAAAATAAAAATAAATAGCCATTGAAATGGACTGTTGATCCCACTTATGAAAATGCCAATAAAAAATGATGGCTACTTTTGATTTCCAACAGGTAAAAAATCAATTTTTGGGCTCCAAAAACCCGTCCCAAACAGGTTCTTAACATTGTTACTTTTTAATTTAATTATTCATCATTTCGTATAATTATATGTTTGTGTGTTGATTATATAATATGAATTGGAGCTACTAAAAAACTACTGAAGGAATATTGTGACATAATATTTAATTGGTAAGACTTTCTACTGCAATATCGAGTGCATTATTCACAATAGGACGAAGTTCTTTTTCCTGAAGGCTGGTAATATGAATACCCACTTTTGTTCAATATAATGAAGAAGCAGACCGTCAATCATTTCTATTGGTCCACAGTTCCCAATGTATTTAACTAAATTAATAGTGTTGACCTCAAAAAATGTATCTCCTGATGGCCAACAGATTCCGAAACCTCTCTCGTCCAAACAAGCCGTATACCTGCACACTAGGACAAACCGTTAGATACACGTGGCCTTAACCTGTGGGGATGGAGTCAACCACGCGTACTCTGACAATCAAATCAGTCAGGGAAGAGGTGTATTAAGTATGGGAGATCCGTTAACATGAGTGCCAATATAAAATAAAGGGGGTCGATTTCAGGGAGTAAAGAATACAAAGAACAAAGTTATAGTATCAAAGTCTAAACTTGCATTACCTTTGAAATGACACCAAGTGTGAGCTTTTATAGTAGAAAAGGGCGAGTAAGAGTCGTTAGATGAAGAGACACATGGTCTTATCTTGGCGGCTAGGGCCTCTTGTTATAGGCATCAATCAGTCAAGCTTAGGCTCAAGTGCATTCAATGTTATGATCATTAGCAGTCCTAGGCCTGACACGTAAGACTAGACTTGACTTGTTGATTGAGTTGAGCCACCCATGTAGTGAGTTGTCATACCACCCACTTGTTACAAAATCTTGTACAAAGATCTTCCCTAAGATGCCTCCATCTTCCTCTCCTCATTCATGGAAGCTCGACCCTCCATTGGGGTTTGGCCAATAGGGGCCAGCCATGGGGGCTTGGCCAAATTACTACATGTATAGAATGATGTGGAGCGTGGGCTTAAATTCTCTTGCGATGCAGTTTCCATTTGGCAATGCTTAGAGCATCATTGGAAGAGGCGTAACAATAGTCCCCCAAGTTCGTGTATGAATATTTATTTAATGCGTAAACTTGAAAGTTAGGATTAGTAATGTTTAGAGCCTTATTGGAAGAAGCGTAACAATAGTCTCCTAAGTTCATGTATGAATATTTATATAATGCCTGAACTTGAAATAATGTATGAATACCATATAATGCTTAGAGTTTCATTGGAAGAGGCGTAACAATAGTTCCCAAGTTCATTTATGAATATTTATATAATATGTGAACTTGAAAGTTAGGAGAAAGAAAAAGACCGTGGTATTATGCTTGTTGTACTTAGTGGAAGCCATGATGAGGCTTCAAGAAAAAGAGGCGATGCCATGGAGAGGCTAGCCTCGAAAAAAGGCGATGCCATGGAGAGGCGAGCCTTGGAAGAAGCAATGCAATGGAGAGGCAGCCTTGGAAGAAGGCGATGCCATGGAGAAGCGAGCTTTGGAAGAAGGCGATGCTAGAGACGAGCATTGGAAAAGGCGATGCCTTGGAGAGGCAAGCCTTGAAAGAGGCGATGCCATGGAGATGCGAGCCTTGGAAGAAGGCGATACCATGGAGATGCGAGCTTTGGAAGAAGGCGATACCATGGAGATGCGAGCCTTGAAAGAGATAATGCAATGGAGAGGCGAGCCTTGGAAGAGGCGATGCTATGGAGAGGTTAGCCTTGGAAGAAGACGATGTTATGGAGAGGTTAGCCTTGGAAGAGGCGATGCCAAAGGCGAGCTTTGGAAGAAGATGACATGGATATGTGAGCCTTAGAAGAGGCGATGCCTAGAAAAGGTGATTCCTCGGAAGAGGCAATGCCATGGAGAGACAATGCTATGGAGAGGCAAGCCCTGGAAGAGGCGATGCAATGGAGAGGCGATGTCTTGAAAGAGACGAGCTTTGGTAGAGGCAAGCCTTGGAAGAAGGCGATGCTCTGCAAGTTAGCAGCTTGTGCTAAGTTGATGCAGAGGTAGCCGTTGATAAGGCGGAATTGAACTTGGCTGAGACTCTTTGTATAAGGAAGAGCCTATTGAAAAGAGGCGATCGGTGATGAGGCCAAAATGAACTTGGCCAAGGCCCTTTATATGTGTGGAAGCACAGTTGAATAGTCCAATATGAGGCCTCTACACTTGAAGAAAGCATGAATGTGAAGTTGGAGTATTGCTACAAGGATGAATATTCTAAATTAAATCATCAATTATTACCACATCGTCAAGTTTACTCACTTTATAGAGATGGGTCTTCCAATAACCTCTTCATCAGAGACCTCATCTTTTTATGGGATTCTCTAATTCAAGGTCACTTCTTTAGTAGCCTCTTCTTTAGTAGCCTCTTCTTTCTCATGGGGCCTACTTATTCATTGTCTCTCATTTGAAATAGGAGGCCTCATTAAAGTCCACTTCTTCAGTGGGTCTTCTTTTTCATTTTCTATTCTTTAGAAGAGGAGGCCTCATTAAGGGTCACTTCTTTAGCCGCTTCCCAGTTTCAAGGGATCTTCTTTTTCATCGCCTCTTTTTTAAAAAAGGGGGCCTTATTAAGAGTCACTTCAATAGCCTCTCTCCCTTCAGGGGATCTTTTTCATGGCCTTTTTTTTTTTTTTTTTTTAAGTGGGGGCCTCATTAAGGGCCACTTCAATAGGCTCTCCCTATTCAGAGGTTTTTCTTTTTCATGGCATCTTTTTTAAATGAAGGGGCCTCATTGAGGACCACTTCAATAGTCTCTTCCTGTTTAGGGGGTCTTCTTTTTAATGGCCCTTTTTTTTTCTTTTTTTTTTTTGTTTGTTTAGAGGGGGCCATTTCAATAGCCTCTCCCCGTTCAGGAGTTCTTCATTTTCACCAAAGATTGTTTTTCTTAGTCTTAACTCAAAATTTTTTCAAGTTATGGGGCTTCCTCTTATTTTTTTTCAAGAACAAATCCCTTTTTAAGAGGGATGCTCAAATGTTACTTTCAACAAGCTTTCACCACATGGTTGCTCGTGGTTAGAATGTGTGGTTTCCCACAAACGACGTCAATCTGTTGACCTCAAAAAATGTATTTCCAGATGCCCAACAGATCTCGAAACCTCTAACATCCAAACAAGCCCTATACCTGCACATTAGGACAAATCATTAGACACACGTGGCCTTCTCCGGTAGGAGTAGAGCCGACCGTGCGTACTCCGACGGTCAAGTCAATTAGAGAAGAGGTGTATTAAGTATGGGAGGGCCCTTAACGTGTTCTCAATATAGAATAAAAGGGGTCCATTTTAGGGAATAAAGAATGCAAAAAACAAAGTTATAATATCAAAGTCTAAACTTGCATTACCTTTGGAATGATGCCAAGTGTGAGTTTTTATGGTAGAAGAGGGTGAGTAAGAGTCATTAGATGAAGAGACACATGGCCTCATCTTGGTGGCTAAGGCCTCTTGTCATATGCATCAATCAGTCAGACTTAGACTCAAGTGCATTCAATGTTATGACCATTAACAGCCCTAGGATTGATATGTAAAATTAGACTTGACTTACTGATTGAGTTGAGCCACCCATGCAGTGAGTTATTACATCACTCACTTGTTACAAGGTCTTGTATGAAGATCATCCCTAAAATGCCTCCATCTTCCTTGCCTTATTCATGGGGGCTCAGCCCTCCATTGGGGTTTGGCCAATAGGAGTCGGCCATGGGGGTTCGGCCATAGTGGCTCATCTATGAGGGCTCAGCCATGGGAGCTCAGCCAAACTGCTACATGTGTAGAATGATCTGAAGTGCAGGCCTAAATTATCTTGCGATGCAACTGCCATTTGGCAATGCTTAGAGCCTTATTGGAAGAGGCGTAACAATAATCCTCCAAGTTTTGTATGAATATTTACATAATGCGTTGAAAGTTAGGATTCACAATGCTTAGAACCTCATTGGAAGAGGCGTAACAATAGTTCCCCAAGATCATGTATGAACATTTATATAATGCGTGAACTTAAAATAATGTATGAATACCAAATAATACTTAGAGCCTCGTTGGAAGAGGCGTAACAAGTAGGTTGGAGATTAATGCTACAATTTTCCCTATGTATATATTTCATAAAATTTCATTATCACTATTTTAATTGAAGATTTAAAAAATACAGTAAATATCAATCTCAATTTCATCATTATTGCGCCTCTTTCTCCGTCAAAGAACATGTGCATATGAACTTGAGTAGAAGATTCACTTAAAACACAATAAAGCAGCATTTTTTGCATTAAAACAATACCAATGTGAGCTTAAAAGTAAACCACATCAAGATGAAACTAAAAGCTAGAACTCGAAAATTAGTAACAATTTTATAGTAAAAGCACCTAATCGCGATAATTATTAAGTCATCAATCACGAGTTTTATGAGAAAGTCAATTACATCCTTGTATTCGCCGCACTCATTTGGCACTATGTCTGCCAATACACCACAATATGTATATATTCTCGAATACAAAAATGAATATGGAATGCCGGAAAACAAGCATCATAGATGGACTCCTTGAGAACCTGAGAACTCACGAAGAGCTTTCACCTCCTCCTTGACGAAAGATGGCAAGCAAAAGGCAGCTTTGTGAATCTGTGGAGTACACGAAAATTGTCAGTGTATTTATTGCTTGCAAAACCTGTAAAATCCCATAACATGAAAGAAGCTGATATACAAATTCCATACTAATTATTTTGCATGCCTACGCTTGAACAAGTGGTTTCAATACGTATACAAAAGACCACTTGATGTATCATTATGAAAATTGAAGACACTACTCATAACAGAGAACTTAAAAGACACAGGCCTTGCTTATGCGATATCTATTGGACATAAAGATCGAGAAAAATTCTAGTCATTAACCTCATATATAAATGTTTTATTATTGGTCTAGTCATTAACCTCAACAACAACATTTTAAGTGATAACCATAGAAAAATTTTAGGGTCACATTGGCAACATTCAAAACAGAATAGAAGATACCTCAGTGTTGTAAAACCTGAGTTCCCTTCTATGCTGAAGTGCGCCCTCAATCTTCTCAATCGGATTGACAGGGTGCTTAAAATCAACCGGTGGTCCCTCTGTGGAGCATAATAGAAATCCTATAACGCCACTGTTGGTATCAGACACAAAAACTACATAAGAACATAGAAACAGCTTGTTGCCAAGGATACTAATCAAAAGATAGCATGTTGTAAGAAGCATATGCAAACATCGAATGTCAGTAAATAAATTATTATTTTATAGTCAACTAATGAGGATTGCCCAAACTAACTTCATAAAAACGGAATACCTTTATTAAATGTATAAGCAATTTGCATTTAGAAAATTTGGAAAAAGTTACTCATACGGTCAGTAAAGTTATACCTTGGATATGTAGGAACACTTGTCCATGCATAATGTACAGAACCCTTGAATGTTTCACGGCAAATCGAAACCATATCTTGAATCAGATGAGTGTGAAGCCACATACTCTCTGCCATATTACATAGAACACCACCAGGCCTTATTGCTCTAGCAAGGGTCTCAAAAAATGGTTTCTCCACAAGCTCCTGAGCCGGACCTGTACATAAACAAATTCAAAGCAGCATTAGCTTGATATGATCATGGATTTTAGACGTACAAATGGGAACATAGAGGAAAGTTTTGAAGTATAATACTAAAGGCTAAAGAGCAATTAAGGCCCTGTTTGACCCACATTCTTTAAATATATATATATATATATATATATATATACATTCTTAAATAGTGATTTGACATCATTTCAATCCAACATTCTTCGATAATAATATTACACACAAATCCAAAAAAAAATTCTTATTTTTTAACCACAAATTTTCCATCAATACACTATTCAAAAATACATTTTTATGAAAATAATATGGCTCAAACAAGGGCTAATATGTTCTAGAAAAGTTAAAGGTATATCTAACCCATCTAGATGTATAAGCTCAAATGGGAGCATAAGGTAAATGATTTGTACTACCCAAAAAGAAATACGAGATTTTTTCACAACAAAAGAGAGCCTAGAAATAGTAGTGCTGCCCCATACACATACCTACAGGATCGGATGAATCAACAATAATTGCATCATACTTCCCTTCAGGTGCATGCCTTAGAAATTCGACAGCTGTCACAATCATGAAAGAGAATAATCAGAACACGAGTAGTACTTGAGGATGAATGGAAATAAAGAACATTTCTTTTATGGAGCGTGACAGCCTCTTCCCTCCATGTTGAGTTATACTGCAGAATCTCCAAATTTATGTTCATAAGTTCAATATGGAAGTCTACATTATTTCAGTTCCCCATTAAATTTGCATAACACCTTACCATCACCCTTGGTAATTCATATTTCAGAACATCATGCAATGACACGAGCTAAATTGAAAGGTTTTGGCATACCATCACCAATATGTAGTCGCACACGAGGGTCCTCAAAGCCAATAGCTAAATCTGGAAAAAACATCTTGCTAACCTATAATGCAGAATGCGATAGATTGAAAACCACAAGAGTGCACTAAGGAAAGAGTATTTGTTGTATACTTGTAACACAAATTTCAACCACTCACATCTATAACCATTTTATCTATCTCGCAAATATCAATGAGCTCTACAGAACTGTGGCGAGCAATTTCCCGAAGAACTCCACCATCACCTCCACCTACAACCAGAACCTGTACTCATGGAAGGGGCATAGAGATGAAGAGTATTATTATAAATAAGGAAAACAAAAAGGAAACTATAGATATGAGGTGTATTATAATAAGAAAAACAAAAAAGAAACCATTGCATTCCTGCATGTGATGCAAAATCTTTTATTTATATTTACATGGTGGTCATCTGTATGCCAATGTTTCATCATTATATGCCATACAAAAAAGTTCAAACAGTATCTCTAAAATGTACTCAAAGATCCTACGCAAGAGTACTACAGAGATGGGGAGGGAAAATGCATCTAAGAAACAGGAATACTTTCCCCAGTATCATCTTTTGGCCCCAAGGGACATAACTGTAAGTTTGAACAATCTGTTTGCTGCAAATAAGTTGGATATGTTTCACCATATAGCAGAAGAATTGAGCAATGTTGTATATATATATATATATATATAATATTAACTCTGTATAATGACCGAGAATCCATCATATGTTGAAAATATAATAGACAAACAGTTGTTCCACAGTCGCCTAATGCAAGTGAAAAATGAGAATAAGATGCAAGAGTATGACAGGAACTCCATAAAAACACATTTGTTGCAATAAACATAAATCAAAATTTACATTTTTGGGGGATTCAATGGAACAAAGGGGGAGATGGGTTATCATCTCCTGATAGGCGCATTCATCCATCTCAGTCAACTGAACAATGCCATCTAGCACAAGCACATTTCCATATACAGAGGACTGCGAGGGTAAGAAACATAACATATAAATTCACATGTCAAGACTTGAAATGTAAGTATTAAATTTACATTAGAAGATGCAAAACCTGAAAAACCATAACATCCTGGTACTCTGACTTTTCCTTAAACAGAATTTTTTCTACTTTCAGGGAGTGTGCTTCTCCTATAAGTAGAAACACGAGGGTTAACTAAAGATATCTGCAACTATAAACAAGAATATAAACTCTTTAAGGTTTACGAAGGATCAGGATTCACATTCCTCCTCCCTCTTAAGACCTAACCTCAAGTTCTCAAGAAATTATGAAGAAATCTTATTCTTCTCAAAGGGCATCACAACTCATTGACAATCATTAATATAAGAATTATGGCATCTGAATAACACACAGTACAAAGATTTAAAGTCAAATAGTCTTTTATTACTCCTGAAAATGATAGGAACAAAGTTGCATCATCAGCTAAAATTAAACTTGAGAATTAAATCAATTTGACCATTACGCAGGATATGTAGACATGCCTCCCATATTTTGTGCGTGTGTGTGTGTG